TGTTGTTGCTGACCTCAACGGGATGCATTGTCAATTTGTAGGCTGGTAGTAGTTGTGTAGAAGTAGTCTAGGCGTTGAGCGTTGTCGAACGTATCTGTCCCTCTGGGGGACATTCCCTGACGTGCCACGCAGGATTTTGCAGGACTTCTCTACAGTGGAGCTTTCGTTTCTCTGGCCGAGTACACCAACGACACCTCTCGCGAACATGTACGAAAGGGTAGGAGCCACGCGGGGTATAACTTACCTCTGCCCAAGGGGTTGTCACTACCTTTGGACATGAGTATCCCCGCCGAGGTTCCGAACCACATGCGAAAACTGCTCAGTTGCAATCGCAGAGGTGACCTAGTTTATGGCGTTTCTCGTACGCTGTACCATAGGGGGTACTTGCGGTCGAACACCTCAATCAGATAAAAACGCAAACCGACGCTCTGAAGCTGATGACCCAAGCGAGATTCAACGTTGGTTGACTAGGATGGTTCATCTAACCACACGGTACACCTCGCCAAAATAGAACCAAGTTTCACACACACAAGTCTCGCATAGTCCCTTTTTGTATCTAACCCATAACCGTTCTCATAATTAAGTGCAAAGATAACATGCACAAAACTTCGTGTAAATAATTTTTTACGGAACAGACCGTTATCATAAGTGACCAATCATGAGCAAATATGTGAGGAATCGCGATGATGGAGTACTATGTAGTACCAATAAACATGTGACTCATATTAAATCATGGGATTGCATTCGATGCTCAGTTGTCGACTAACGCACGTGCAAAAATGTTCTTTCCCTCGTGAGCGCATAAGCGGGCTGAGCACCCTGCCATCTTATGCACCCTATAGTGCCCCAAACGGGGTAGGGTAGAATAACATCGAGGGCAGAAGGGAACTCGGAGTGGTGGTAACTTGTTTGGCGCACCACCAGCGACACACTAACAACAGAAAAATTGTGGGTTTTTTTTTGGGCGGTTTATCATATGCGGGCACCCTTTTTAAACTGTTGGTTTCGTGTTAATAAATAGTTTGCCGGAGGTAGTGT